TTGTTGGGGGCAATATGCTGACTCTCTGTAAACCGCTTAGAGAGGGCTGAAAGCCCTATGAAGCGGTATATAAGTCTACTGCTATTGCTATATTCGTTTCTGTTTCGAATTATTCTGGAAAAGAGATTAAGCTCTTTGTGTGGTTGTCTCTATAGGAGAAAATAAAGTACAGAATCAAACCAGGTTTCAAAGTCTGAGCACAAACTCACTTACATGAGAAAGTAGTTTCAGCCTACATTCTTTAAACAAATTCTTAGAATTCAGTATGACTGAGAAACCCTTCCACCAAACCTAAGCATGAGGTTTTGTTTTTGCCTTGTTGGGGCAATTGAATTCATACCTTGGATGTTCCTAATAATATTAGCCAACTGAAGATTCTCAGCCACCCAGGTCATGGCTGTCCCAATGGGGCGTTTTCATTATTTTTCATTATTTTAATTGAAAAGACAGTGCTATGTCAAGATAACAATTGCAAATAAAGCAGAGCCAAAAAAAGTTGATAGTAGATCTTAACACACAGGCTAATAACAATAAAAATAATATAATAACGGTAACTAGTGGTATGACCAAAAAAGAAAAAAAAGAACTTTAATTAAATTTCTACTTACATTAGCCTAGTTACAATTTTCCCTTACTATAGTCAGACTAACATTTATTGACATTCGTAAACTTATTTTCCCTCTCATTTCTACCTCTTGTCACTATCCATTCATAAAATGTATTCCATATTTCGAGTCTTCTTTATCTTTAATTTTTAAGGTTAATCTATCCATTTCAGCACAATCCCAATTTTTCAGAATATCAGAGAAGAGGCCTTCTTTTTGATAGGTAAAGTGATTGGCCATCACTATGACGCTATACTTTTCTGTTGCATTTATCCACTTATTTATTTACTGCAATTTTATATCTTGGAAATTGCTGAAAGCGAAGCTTCTGCAGCGATAAAACATAAAATGAAGCAAAATTTGAATCCTAACTGTAACAATATTGCCTCTTTGGGATGCACATTAATTGGCCGATCAACCGCGAGGTAGAAGAAACAAAAAAGAATGGCGAGCAGCTTCAAAGGCCTCAGTTTCTCTCTTTGTTACCAATTCAGTTTGTCTCCTGGCTCAAATCAATCTGACATATGCGTTATTACAGACCTGCTCCCATTTTTTTCAAAGAAGCAATTTTCTCTATCTAGCTTTCCTTGTTGTCCAAGGCTGTGAATTATGGCACGATACCTTAATAGATTTTGAAGATTGCTACAAGCAAAGCATGGGGTGTTAGTTGATGCCACCATGCAGGAGGTTTTCCTGGGGTGGAGAGGTCATGGCGAGTTTTTTATTTTCCTTGTGAAAATAGACAGATGCCTTTTTTTCTTGATTTTCAGACATTTTGTCTTTGGGGGAACCTTTTCCATCTATAAAATCCAGAGCCAAACTAAAAAATTATCTTAAAAAAATCATGGGGAACAGCCAAGATATATCACAGCTGGGAATTATCTACACCCTCAATTAATTGGAGCAGTTTGATCCTTTCCATGTGGTTGGCCAATTCCATGGAATAATCTTCCCATTAAATTGCTGATGACCTTTCCAGAGGACTGGAAAAGAGCTGATGTGGTTCCCACCTTCCAAAAAGGAAAAAAAAAACCCAGACTCAGGTTAGATTGGTCTGTACTAATCAGCCTAACATCAATACCAGGGAAGATACTGGAAAAGATAATTAAAAAACAGATCTGCCAACACCTAGAAATGAGTAAAGTAATAACTAGCAGCCAGCACGGGTTTGTTAAAAACAGATCATGCCAAACCAGTCTCATTTCATTTTTCAACACACCATGTTTTCCCCAAAATATGACAGGATCTTATATTTTTTTGACCCACGAAATATGGCCTTAGGCTTATTAGGGGGGGGGGCTTAGTGTTTTTGGGTTGCCGGGCGGCTTCTCCCTTGTGACCGGGCTCCCAAAGAGCCGGGCAGAGCCTCGGGGTCGAATGGCTGTGTTGCGCTGTCGCAGCAGCAACACAGCAGCCCTGAGGTGACCACGCTCGCGAGCAGCTGC